TGGGCAGCCATATATCATGGTGGTGGGAAAGTGACTGAAGTCAAGATGCCAGATCATGGCTGATAATGTTACAGACCATTCTTTGGATTTTATTGAGAATCTCCAAATATATAGCAGGAGCACTAGACCAGATATGGCAGCAATATTCAATGCATGGATGAGACAAAGATTTATAAATGTGCAAGATGTATTCTGGCAAGAAAAATTATCTGGTATGTCACAGTGAACCAACTTTCCTAGTAGCAGACTTAGCAATTGATTCAATATAATTTCCTCCTTTATATTAGTTCATCTTGGGTAAGACAAACTACATCCCTTTCCTGGATAAGACGATAAACTACGTCCAGCTGCAAGGCCTCTGATCAGGAGGTTTTGAGGAGTGTGGAACCACCTCCTAATTGCTGGTGTTCCCAGGTCCATCCTGACCCGGGGTGGTAGCAACTGTTAGGGTCCCAGCTATGGGCGAATAGTTAACTATTACCAGCAATACAATTTTGAAGGAAAAATATTATCAGAAACAGATTTTTGACAAAACAATATTGCCAGCAATAAAAAATGTCGGCATTAAATAACCAATTGAGGTTGATATGCCATAAAATAAACCAAACCGAACCAAACCTTTATGGTAGTGGAAAATGTGAGACCAGTGAGTTTCACTCTTGGATGTTAGCATCAGGAAGGCAGAAATAGTTCTCTATTATGATGAAAAGTTAAGTTTCATTTTGAAGGTGTTAAAATTTACAAGCCATTTCTTGTCCCAGTTAACAAATATTTGGAGGTCATTTTTGAGAGCAGCTGCCAGTTTTGCTTTGTCAGACATCAGAGTTACTATTAAGACAGGAATAAATACTTGTGTCATCAGCATAAAACAAAGTTGGTTCAAGGAAAAAGCTTTATGAGATCCTGTATTAATGCTCTAGAAGCATGGCCATTCAAGATGATGTTCATTACATGATTTGTTAAGAATGATCGAATTAAGTCAAATATTCGGCCAGACACCATAGCCCTTGAACTTGTGAAGAAGGCCAGCATCTTAAACCTTGTCAACTGCCTTTAAGATATCTAAAGCCAGAGACTCACAGTTCTGATTTAAAGCTTGATAGATAAATTTAGTCACAACTGTTAACTTATTGGCAGTTGACCTAGAGAAAAAAAAACATTGTTTATGTGAAAGAACGTTATGCGAAGTAAGATGCTTAACCAATTCAAAATTGATTAGAATCATTAGTCTTTCTTTTTATGCATCATGTCCTTTCAGGATGTAGGCGATCATGGCTCTCCACCTCCTTCTATCCCTTGCAGCTCTCAACGAGTTCTTTTCCTCTGCTCCCTCCCCCAGAATACATTCTGTTAACCACTTGCTTAAGCCTGCTAGGTATGTCATGTGTTGTTTTCCTTTTTTCTCTTTCCCTCTGTTTAACCCATGAGTATCAGATTCTCCAGGCCCTCCTTCCTCATTATGTGTCCCAGAAACTTCAGCTGCCTCTTCCTGATGTTAAGTATAAGCCTCCATTTTGTTTGCATCCTCTCTGAGACCTCATCATTGCTCAGACGCTTGGTCCATGACATCCTTAACAGCCTTCTGTAGAACCACGTCTCTGTTACCTCAAGTCTCTTCTTCATTTTTGAGGAAATCGTCCAACATTCACTGCCATAAAGGACAGATGTCACATAACAGCTCAGTGTTCTTTTCTTTGTTACCAAAGAAATCCTTCTGTCTCAATACTCTGCCCAGCTTTTGGAATGTGTCCTGAGCCATCCCCAATACTTCTATGTATCTCAGTGTTGCACTTACAGTCCTCTGTCAAAACGCTTCCCAGATATTTAACTTCTGCTTTAGTACCTTGTCAAAAAAAAGCAAAAGACTAATAGGATGATAAATCGAGGCATCAGAAGGTTCACCTGAGTTCTTAAAGACAACAACGACAGAAGAGGATTTCCAACAAGCAAGAAAGCAACAAGCAGCAAGACATTTATTGTATTTGGAGAGAACAGGATCTCTCTCAGGAGAGATTCTGTTCTAGAGGGAAAATATATTTTTGTGCATGCACACACACACACACACACACACACACACAGTTTGTGGCTTTGAAGTAAGACATTAAAAAATTATTCCCTTTCCATTCAGTCTGGACAGCACCTACCCTAAGCAATAAAATCAAAGTTGGAGATGAATAAAAAAGAAAAAAACCTAATTTCTCTAATTTTTGTCTGAATTTTTAGGATGAGGAGTTACCATTATTTACACTATTTATATTCAGACTATTGCCTTCATCTTTGTTGTTTTTATCACACTGTTTTGACCCTTGTATCCTCTGGCCTTCTCCAGGTGTATATCGATCTGGGTAACTATATATATATATATATATATATTTAATTGGTGCCACCCCATGCAAGACAGTAAAGCCACTAAGACACAAAGGGGTTACAGAGTGTGGAAGAATTAGGAACAGAAACATTAATAATTAGTTGGAAGAGGAAAGAGTAATCAGGGGGACAGTAGATAGTGATTGACATTGCATTTATATTTTTGCAGATTAAAGTTGGCAAGAAAGCATGGAGCTGGAAGAGAGTTCCACAAGAAGTGTGTATGCAAATAAGTAAAGCGAGTGACGCATTTAGAAAATTGGAGAAACAGCTCTGTAGGCGCTGCGGGATTTCTTTAGAGATAAAGATAAAAGTCTATTATACATGTGTGCAATCTGCTCTTCTGTATGCCTGTGAAACTTGGACCACATACAGAAAGCACATAAAGCGTCTGGAATGCTTTCACCAGCAATGCTTCAGGAGAATCCTTGGTGTTCGCTGTCAAATGTTTGTTAGTGATGTTGAGTTATTACAAGTCTAGTGTCAAAGCATAGAATCGATCATTTTTCAGTGTCGATTAAGATGGAGAAGGCATTTTGTTAGAATGGAGAATGAATAACTGTCTAAGCAACTCCTGTATGACAATTGTTGGAGGTAAGCAGCCGGCTCAGAAACTGAAAATGAGGTACAAGGATTGTTTGAAAACATCTTTAAGGAAGTGTGGCATTGATGTTCTGATCTGGAAGAGCAAGGTATTGGATTGGAAAAAGTGGAGAGAGGTTCATGAAGGAAAGAATTTGAGAAAGAATATATTGAACATGAAAAACTGAAAAGAGACGTCCAGAAGGGGTACGTAAATGAAGTGAAAGATGAAATGGGTAATTGGATTGATTTCATATGTGTTATATATGACCGAGTCTGTTTGACCCTAACTGGTCTGAAAAGTCACGAGAGAACGTATCAGTGCCACCTGAGAGCGGATTGTGCATTACTTGATAATACAACATGTAATACATGTGGAAAAGTGTGCAAAAGTGCAGAAGGATTAAACTCATCAGAGATGTTCATGCCTGCCACTCCTGTGCTAAAGAATGTACAGTGTAACCCGGATATAAGAGAGTTGTCGGGACTGGAGAAGAAGTCTCTTATATCCGGGTTTGGTCTATATTTATATACATTAACACAGGCTCTAATTTGGGACCAGAGAAAATTTCTTTTATATCCGGGTTACACTGTATGTCTTTAGCAGGACATAAAAGCTGTATGAGAGCAGCTCATCAATGAGCAATGGTTTGCAGCCATCACACACACACACACACACACACACACACCTTCATGAACAAATGTTGAGATAAACAGATTGGAAGTATCTTTTTGTTTGTGTATTTGGAATGTTTTCAGATTAGACAGGAGATCATCTTATAGTCATGTGATCAGATCTGATCAGTGGGAATTTAACACTAGTAGGAGTGAACAGGACAGATAAGAAATCATATATAATTGTTTACAATCTACTGTATTTATGGAAGAGAAGTGCTTGGTATGAGAGAGAGAGAGAGCAAGTGCAGATGCTTGAGGCATAGAAACGGCTAATTTCAGCATTACCATGTCTACCCCACAAACAGAACCAAATCTTCTTGTACTCTTTTTGATTTTCTAATCTGGTTATTGAACCAACTATAATAATTACTTACCCTGAATTTCTGGGATGAGGAGTTATCAATAAATTTAAATTCTGTACATAATGATAACATTTTAATTAGATGTTATTAATTGTATTAAGTTACCCCCACAAAAAATGTTTTTGTAATAAGATGGTTGGCCTATTCTATCACTTCAAGAAGTATCTGTCTCCTTCTTATCTTTGTAAGAGTTTAATTAGACCAAAAATGAAGTATGGGAACCAATGTTTCAACATGATATGACCGTAAACCTCGAGAAATAACTTTTGTAGATTAGCATCCATGAGAACTTTCTCAGGGCATAACATTTGTTAGAATTGATAAATATTATTTTTTTTATCATTTTAGAAGTGGGAGGGTCTGTTCATAATATAAAATCAATCCAGAAGTTATCTGATCTGCATATGAAAAGAAAATCTTTTTTTTTTTTTTTACAAAAAGATTTCTTTTAAATAATTATATATATATAATATAATATAATATAATATAATATAATATATATATATATATATATATATATATATATATATATATATATATATATATATATATATATATATATATATATATATATTATTATTGAAACAACTGAACAAACAATATTACAAGTGGCAAGTCATCTGAAAAGTCAATAGAATGTAACAACACTCCACTAATAATAAATTTATTTAATTAATAATTTAATTTTATAAAATCCACCTTATTTTTTTGTTTTTATGTTATTATTATATTGTATTATTTCATCCCAGTGTATGTAACCTTTTGTTTGAAGTAGTGTGAAACATCAACAGCTTGATATTATTTTCTCTTTGTGTTACTTCTGCTATCCATTTTAGTTGTTGCTGCTGTTGAAAGTCCTCAACTGATGTGGTTTCTGTTATTTGGTACAGTTCTTTGTTTGTAATTCTGTTCTGCCAGTCCACAAAATTCGAAGCTTGGTCTTTATTTTCTCAGTCATTTTTAACCATTAGTCTGAGAAAGAAGTTGTATACAGCTGACATTTTACAGGGCTTACGACCATATCATGTTAAAACACTAGTTCTTGTATGATCACTGAAGTTAAGCAACATCAAGCCATGTCAGTACCTAGATGGGTGAGCACTTAGGAATACCACATGCTGTAAGCTTGGAGATGTAGCTGATGTAATGGATAATGGCTCAGAATTGGAAATTCCAGTCAGGTTTGTTATATTCACTTATGTCCAAAAAAAGGTATGTTTCCATCTCTTGTCCCCTCCATCTATGGGTTAATTTGTAGGACTTGTATCAGTAACTCATTATCTCCAAAGATATTATTATTATCTATAAAGAAAATGTTCTGGCTTTAAATAACCTGCAAAATGCTGATAAGCTGTATGTAAAAAAAATCAGTCAATCAAAACATATTTCTGAAAGAGGTTGGTGCTGTGTATGGTATCTATATGAAATTCTTAATCTAATCAGATCCAGACTTGAGTTTTGTCTAAATTTCTGAGATGAGGCTATTTACAATATTCACATTGTTCCTCATCTTTCTTGCTTTATTCATATGGCCCAGTGGATAATAACGTTGGTTGAAATAATCTAAAAGTGACTTGACCCAAATTATTATGAGTTCAATACCTGGCCATGTTACTAAAGAGAATTAACTGAAACTGAGATATCCAAATGAGGCATGGCATGTGGAATTAGAAAACTCTACCTCCATTGACGAAATAAAGAGTTCAGTTCAAAATCCCAACGTATATCACCTGAAGAAGGTTGGAGCATGCAATGGCTTAAACAGTGTGAATATGGCTATAAAGAGAACAATAGTAGTCCAAATGATGTAAATAGTGTATAGAGACTTGAGTTATTAAGTTAATGTTTTTGATTTTGTAGCAATTTGTGCTGTTGGGTACAAACAAAAACTAATAATGAGTAAAGATAAATTTTTAAAAATCCATTTTCTTACATTATGTTCCCAGGCCAATGATTTATTCTCTTCTTGTGGTGAAGAGAAAATTAAATATCCAATTAAAACTTTGAAACAAATCTTCCTTTTGCCTCCCCCCTTATAACCAGTAGATGTAATAACAGAAGTATTCTTTATAGCCATCCAGAAACACAACAGCTGACCAATAAAATTTAAAAAATATATGATAAAAAATATATAAATAAAAATAACAATAATTTCTGTGAATTAAAAAAAATATATAAATTTTTATCTGAGTTGAGAATAGCTGTTAATAACTTTTTTGTTTCCTCTTGCCTATGAAATACTCTTTGTTTTCCAGTCATCTAAAATCTATAAAAATTTAAATACAACATCAATCGTAATCTTCTGTCTCCTTGAATCCTGTTCTTTTTATCTGCTCTCCTCAATATTTCTCAGTTTCCTTTACTCTCAGTACCTCCTTGTATCTTAGTGACTTCATTGCCTTACTTGGGTTGAAATAATTAAAAGGAAGAAAAAAAAAACTGAAAAGAATTAATCAGTCAGTGGCACAGAGAAGGTGAAACTAATTTTTATCACCACCTTTGACAATTAAAAAGCATAGGAAAAGCCATTTATTATAAAACTAGCAGTAGAGGCCGGCGTTGCCCAGGGATGTAACAGTAAGAGATAGATCCAGTATCGACCATCATAAAGACTAAAAAATAAAATTGACAAAGATTATTGTTTAAGGTTGACGGACATGCATGTCTTAATTAGTTTTTTTTTTTTTACGAATTGGTCAAACTCAAACAAAAACATTGTTTTCAATCATTATGAGTCTACCGATTGAATAGAATTTTATTATAAACAATTGTCTTGTAAATGGAATTTTTAAAGCATTCTGAATGTAAAAATAAAGAAAAAAGTGTGCAAGAGAATAAGAAACACTACCTGCCAAAAAAAAAAAAAGTGAAGTTTTGTTGAAATCGGTTGAAAAATGTAGGAAATCCGATCCAATATATAAACGTACACACACACACACACACACACACACACACACAACCTGGGTTTTATAATAAGTATGATAATGCTACCAAATTATGTCCCTTGGTAACATGATCATGACTCTACAATATGATCATCTACTAATGACTTTCCACAACTTCCTAATCTTTAACATCTGTAAACTGTGATCATCAGGACTGTTTTTGGAAAACTAGGGGAGTGGTTTGCCTTTACCTTTTCCAATTTTGAATTCAGTTATCCTACTTCCAGACAAGTTGACCTACCAAAGCTACAAAGCCAGGTCTATCCTACTATTTAACCCATAGCTGGAGGGAGAAATGGGGAATTCATGCCTTTCTCAAAGGCATCAGCATAAAGTGAATGCAACTGTCTCAGCTGGAATTTGAACTCAAATTGCTAATTCCATTTTCTGTGCAAATAAACATTAAACCACCTGCACATCAAATATCCATAGTTATCAAAATCAATTGATCCCGAAAAGTTTATTTTAAAAGAAATTAAAAAAATAGATTTCAATTTTTGTTTGAATTTCTGGGATGAAGAAGGTTTTTCTTTTTTTTTTTTTTTTTTTTTTTTTTTTTTTTTTTTTTATAATGATTTTCACTCTGCCCAAGAGTCACTCAATGTAGAGAGTTAAAGAGTAAGAAGGAATTATTACTATTTACATGTGTACTATTGTCTTTGGTTGTGTTGTTTTTTATTGCAACATTTCAGCCATTGTGCCCTCTGGTTTTCATCAGATGTATATCAATCTAGGAAACCTACAGGGAATTTTGAACTGAACTCTTTATTTAAACTATATTTAAATCAGTGGAATGAGAACAATCTACCCCTGTAAATTACATAAAGGTTTCAGATCAAAATTCACAGTAGGTTACTCAGATTGACATACATCTGATGAAGTCCAGTGGGCACAATGGCCAAAACATTGGGATAATAATAATAAAGATGAGGACAATAGTCTGCATATCAATAGTGTCCCATATATACTCGTGTATAAGTCTACTTCATGTATAGTGCAACCCCTGAATTTTTTTTTTTTTCTTTTCATATAATGTGATCCCAACTTTTGAGAAATACTAGTAGGCCTACCGTAGTCAAATATTGCAGTACTAGGTATCATCCTAGACATATTTTATAGCAAATAAATGGTCAATTCTTTTTTGTACAAAGCTACCCCAAAATACTGAGAAAAGCCACTTACCATAAAATATCTGATATAAATATTTACATACCGTACTTTTATTTTTGTTATGTAACAGAAAATTATAAGATAAAATAATACCAGTAGATGTAAAGAATATAATAAAAAAATAAACAGAGGGAGACAGAATAAGGAACACAAAATAAGGTATGTATCAGATAAAAGGGATGTTGATGGAAATGCAATGCCTCCAATGTAAACATGTAAACAAAGATGAAAGCAAATTGGAGAAAAGGGGGGGGGTAAACATTGTTAATTCTTCATTTATATAACGTATTTGTAGAGTGAATGATGTTCATGTAGTAATAGAAAGAAAGAATCTAGGCAATGGGAGGCGGCAGACTAAAAGAGATTACCTTTACAGTTAAGGTTAGTCAAAAGTACCATGAGAATGGAGGACTATCAGATGGGTTATGGTCACTGAAAATACATGAATTTTAACTCCTCCAGAAAAAATTTACCTGTGTAGAGATTTTCCAAGCGCAGCTTAGATGTGACACAAGGCCAAAATTATAATAATCGTTCTAGCAAGACAAACTTGCTAACCATTACAACGCATCGAGGTGCCCTAAAAAAAAAAAAAAAAAATTTACCTGTGTATATTGAAACAAGTCACCAAAAATGCATAATTTTTAATCTCTTCAAAAAAAAAAAATAAAATAAAATAAAAATTACCTGTGTATAGTGCACTTCCACTCGTTTTTTTGTGTAAAAAAACTGAGAATAAAACTTGCACTTTATTCGAGTATATATGGTAAATAAATTTCAAGTTAATAAATTTTATATTAATTTTTATAATTTAAATTCTTTTATAACAATGTAAATTTTTTACTTTTGCTTAATCTTATCAGCCAGTTATTTAATCTAAAAAATACACCCCCCCCACCGTACCAAAGTTATAAAAATAAATGATTTCTTTTGTCTTTTTTCTGGGTGATGAGTAGCATCTTATAAATTACAAGTGATTACAAGAATACATTTTCTCCAGAGATCAAATAGGAAACAATAATTATTATTATTTACACTATTTATATTTGGACCATTATCTTCATCTTTGTTGTTGTTATCACAATGTCTCAGCCGTTATGACTACTGCTTTCTCCAGGTGTATATTAATTTGGGTAACCTCCAGGACATCTGAAAGAATCAGCGCATATACTAGGCTATGAGGATCCCCTTAGTAGGCCGAGCATAGAAATAAATACAATATGGGAGATGCTAATTCAGAAAGGGAGACAAATGACAGCAACTCTTCATCTGCAGTAGCATTATTCAAAGCAGCAGTTGCAGCATTAATCAGCAGGCAGTTTAGGGTTAAGACACCAAGTTCACTACAGCAAATTGTCCTAGTGGATTAAAGCGTTGGTTTATGAATTTGGTGATATAGTAGTTATGAGTTCAATCCCTGGGTCAGACAGTGTCTGCTTGGTGAGCAATCACTATTTAATTTACAGGGGTAGATTGTTCTCATTCCACTGATTTAAATATAGTTTAAATAAAGAGTTCAGTTCAAAATTCCCTGTAGGTTTCCTAGATTGATATACATCTGATGAAAACCAGAGGGCACAATGGCTGAAATGTTGTAATAAAAAACAACAAAACCAAAGACAATAGTACACATATAAATAATAATAATTCCTTCTTACTCTTTAACTCTCTACATTGAGTGACTCTTGGGCAGAGTGAAAATCATTATAAAAAAAAAACAAAAAAAACCTTCATCCCAGAAATTCAAACAAAAATTGAAATCAATTTTTTTAATTTCTTTTAAAATAAACTTTTTGGGATCAATTGATTTTGATAACAATGGATATGAACTATATGATATTCCTAAACGTGGGCAGTGGAATTAGAACAATCTACTCCTTTAGCCCTTTATTTAATCAAATAAAAGGCTCAGTTCAGAATTCCTTGTAGGTTACCCAGATCAAAATATATCTGAGGAAGTTCAGAGGGCACAATGTCCAAAATGTTGGGATAACAACAAAGATGAGGACA